TAAAAGTTCCATTTTCGACACTGTGCGAGCCAAATTGTACGCATCGCCTAACTCATATCCTTTGGTTAATAGTTTCGTCTTTTATATATTTTCCCGCGTTTTCGCATTAAATATTGTTACTATATAATATAAATGTGACATTTATTTTGACATTCCACCCTCTTCGTCAAAATTATTTCTGATTTTATTACTTTACATTCAATCGTTGAAAACCAATTAATATAACTGTAGTCAATAAAATATAGTTAAATTCAATAACCTATTATTTATAATATTTAACCTCTGAATTTTACACTGTGGCCAATGCATATAATTTAATATTATTCTAAATACAGTAATACATTATCAAATGCGGACACATGATTTTTAATTTTTTTCGATTCCTGCAAAACATTTAAATATTATTAATTTTTTTTTTTACCTATAACTCACGTAATATTTCTTAGAAAAGATTTAAATTTGTTTAATGAATATACTTTAAAATAAAGATTTAATTCGATTCTTTTATAATTTATAATCATTATGTTTTGAAGCACAATTAAACTTGTGTCATTAAACTCGGTGACAAAGTATTTTTTTAATTTAATTTTTTCACTTAGATTGCCTACCTATAAATGTGCTACATTTTATGCCACAAAACAATTACAAAAACAGAACCCATCATATTGATAATAATAAATACCTAGTAAGTAGCTACACATGCATTATAATAATTTTTTTAAATTAAACGTAAACCTAATTGTTCTATTTTTGAATATAATCACTCCATAGGTACCGCGCTTTTGGCTGCTGTTAATACATTATATAAGTACCCTTGATATAATTATATATAATATGATAGAAATTCGAATTATCATAATATATAAATTTCTGTAATCACGTCTTAACTTACAAGTGAAATTTCCTGGACATAATATTTAATTTTAGATTTTTATTTTAGAAGTATACTACTATACTAGTATTCTAGTTTCAATATAATAAATATTAATTGAAAGTCGACATTTGACAGTCGTTTATTGGGTTTAAAAACAATATATTTTTAAAAAAAGCTGTTTTATTGATTAATTAAGTAATGCCATAAACATAAATTTCAAGAGGCAAATCGAAAATGACGTATTGAACAAACATTAGTTGCAAATATTTGCCTACATAAATTACATTACATAAAAAAACTTTTAATAGTAATGCAGTAACTGTTGATTATGGAGTCATTATTAAGTATTAAATAATTTTCACTCTCCAATATATTTATAGAGTTCAACGAGAGAAAAAGTCATACAATAGTTAAAATATATTAATACGATACCTATTCATACACAGCAGTTTTAATAGGTTAAAGGAACCAAAATAAAAAAAATCATAAACATTTTTGTGTTTATTATTATTGCGAGATTATGTAAAATTAAAATTAATATTTTTTCTTAAATATTCTATTTCGTGAACCAGTGTAAACTTATAAATTAGGTAACATTGGTATTCAATTTTTTTTTAAAACTATTTCACATAATATTGAAAAATTACATCAATTATTTAAGTGAGTAGTATTTTTTTGAAAAAAGAGTGAAAAAATTATTGACCAAATAATTTTTATAAAACCAAAATTTCAAATAAATATTATTTAAAAAATAAATTATAAGTGCATTTCTTGACGTAATCTAAACGATTTAATAATAATACTATACAACAAAATTAGTAGTGATCGACAATATAATATTGTATACTCTGCAGGGAGTAAATATAATATTTTATTCGCTGTTGGGTATTAAGTCGGATGGTGCGTATGTTCAACGCATTATATATTATTTTACTCTTACATGACGCGTATCCGGCTGTAATAAGTCGATTTAACCCATTATAGAGTATATAATATAAAATATTTTATTTCTATATATACCTAACATAGTATTAATAATGTAATGAATAACAATCGAGAAAAAAACAAAATTTATGCTATACGAATGTGTTGAAAATGTATGACAATATTAACCAATTTGATAAGAAAAAGAAAAAGAGAGACCATTATTATTTGTTAATCTGTTGTTGGCATTGGTAATAAATAATAGGTAAATAATACGCAAGGCGACGTGTACCTAATACATACAGCGGCGAGTGTTTCGTATTATATATTGAAAATGTGTGTATATACTATGTATATATATTTAGAAATATCAATCAATGTGTCCGATACTTATCAACGCGATATACTCAAACATTTTACTAAGGTGCCGTTTCCAAGGGCCTCGTGCCATTTCATTACATATACCACGGTAATGCCGTATCGTCGACTCTAACTAATATTTTAATTTATAGATACCCTTACACTACACCAGGAGTGGCAGACATTAATAGACTTGTGAGATCGACCTCCGAGTTTTCCGAAATTTATTAATTAGGTACCAAAAACAACAGTAAAAACATGGTAATTCGTTTGCTATAATTATTAATGATGACGAAAAGTAATCGCGATGGACCAATTGTGGCCGCCCCTAAATAACGATAGTAATTTCAGATTCTGGTATGAACCTTTTTTTTACAATAATGATGTGTTTGTTTTGGTTTTCTTTTGTGTATCTGTCTTCACATTTTGGGACGGCAAAAATACTTCAAACAATCTTCAACTATTCAGAGTGCAGTTTCTGATATCGAATTGGATCGGGTAGGTACTTTGGAAGGAAAAAATTCACAGCACTTTTCAAAATAATTGGAAAAATAAAAACTGTTTGAAAAATGTTTGTCAAAAAAATGACAATGACAAGTTATTATTTTATAATTAAAAAAAATTTAACATTGTGGAGTTTTGTTATTATATGAAATTTTCAAAATAATTAGACAAGGTACTTTTAAGCTGTTTATACCACAAACCTATTAAAACCGTTGTACGGTACGTGGTATTTACTTATAAACCATAGTAAAAGTATGATACATGCGATGGTTTTCGCCCACATATTTCGTTAAATAAAATAATAAATATCCTTAGAAATAGAGGCCTGTGAGATCATTTCCACTCAGAATCGTTTTTCGTATTCATTGTTTGAACGTTGAATTCGAATCTAACACTACCACTACAGCAGTAACCAACTCAGTGACGAGGTACACTCAAAATCTCCTTATCTACAGAGCGATTTGCTAGGTTTTTAACTCAACTCGTATAAAATATAAATATTATAAACAATTATTTGACCAAAATTAAACTTTTGAAAATAACATACCTCTATATGTAGCCATCTACATCCTATGTGATAGAAAAATGCATTAGTATCCCACACTTGATCTGAATTTAACTATATAGAAATGGGCAAGTGCTTTTGCATTTCTTGTTCTTGTTATTTCATTTATTTGCAGTAATATGTACCTGATTGGTTTAATTTCTGTGTACACCATTCGTTTCTCAAGATAATGACGTATTATTGAACTATCAAACTGGAGTTAGATATACTTGTAAATGCGATTATAAACCAAATCGGTAACCTAACAACACGTCAACATATATACCTACGTAATACTTGAAGTACATTCCTATAACACGTATAACACATAACAAATATAGTTCAAAATAATACCAATAACGTTCAGATTTTTAGACCGTTGCAAATTCAAGGACTCATTGTCACTGTTGTCGTCGTCCAATATATTTAGTTCACAATACATAATAATATCATAGTAAATGGAATCTTCGAATTACGAAAGAACAACAAAAACCCTCATTGTGTTTACATATTATTTTTTTTCCAACCGTTAACCACACCCACGCACACACGCGGTGGCTTCTGTCTCAGTGGTCCTCAAGTTTATATGTACCTGTTGAACTGTCAGTCATAACTCCAAGGACTGCACTGCACACCCCACCCTCGTAATCCGTAACCAGAAAAGAGGAGAGAGGGTTAGATGTCGATCGCTTTATATACGCCCGATCGGTCCACTGTCAGCAACACATGGATATAGCTGTCATATCGTTTCGCTGAATATCTATAGTTAATAAATAAAACATTACAATAATAATTTATGAAATTTAATTAATAAATAACAACAATTGTAAACAGTTCGAAAGTTTATAAACAAGACGTCTGCTTATATTGTATTAAAAATGAATCTTCTCGTTGTACCGGTCGTGTATACGACTATGGTATTTTTAACAGTGGTGTTTGGTGAACAAACTAGAAAAGTGTACATGGAAAAACGTGGTAAACTTCAAGACCTAGAAACCTCAGCTTCGGGATACATATACAGAACGGATGGGCAGAACCCTCCGATATTCATTAAGCTTGGAGAAGGCAACAATGACAACTTCAATGCCATACTGGAAAGTAAGGAAAAACTTTGATGCTTTTACACAAATTAAAACATTATTATATACAAACAATTAATTAATACAGGTAGTATTAAATTACATCAAATTGAGTATAGGTATTACTCAAACAAAATACAAAAACATTTTTTCATTTGAAACGTTTTAGATTTCCTTTAGTAAATTATTTTTGGAGTTTTTTTTGTTTGGTTTACTGGGTATAGCTAGGGATAATAAAATAATTATATACTTATTTTAAAAGGTAAGACTTCATGTTATTGATGAAACATTGTAAACGACTGTTATATTTAAGAAAACATGAATAATGTGATGGACAATCTCATCAATCGACAAAACAAAAATATTTGAATAGGTATACGTGAAATGCATGCATTACATTTGCCAGGTTCCGCATACAAATTCAGAGTTTAATAGACACTTTTCAAGTAATATATTCAAAATCAAAAAACCAAAACTTTCAATAACCATTTTCTTTTTTGCTATAATATTATGCAAGTCGTTGCCCGTGTACCGAAAATTGTATCAAATATACCTACTGAACGCCATACTTTTATCGTCGGTTATATGAGGATTTTATTGCACAAGTTTTAGTTGAATCAGAAATAATTTGAAAACTTTGTGTTGTAAGCCCTTCAAGTAAAAAATTCAAATCACAGACCACCACGTGCAAAACTTCAGGAAACCTAATCATTACGCATGTTACCAAAATCTCAGTAAATGTGTTTAAATGTTTCTCCTCAAAATGTGAGGGGGAAGAAAAACGCATTAACACCAACCTGCAGTTTCCCAATCCATTGCAATATGATGACATACTATCGTGTACAGGATTGATTGATTATACAAACTCAACAAAATAAATATTTTAGCTTAATGTTTTTAATGCTTTTCAATATTTCAATGCTAAAAAACGTAAAAACCTATAATATAACGTTAAACAAAATTACAAATTAAAAAATATAATTCAGTGTTTCTTACCAAAAACTCGACAAAACAATATTTTTATTAATAATTCATCATTTGTATGTTAAATGAAAAAAAATGTACTTTGAATTTTGAAATATTTAATGTAACGAGTAAAATGTATATGCACGCAGACGGAATTAAGTTTAGTTTTATTGAAGGTAGTTATTCGAGCATTTATGTAAATAGCTAAAGGTCTTTATAACTTAAAAACTATATTACAGATTAATTCAACGAATAAAAAGTTTAATTTTTTATTGGATACCATTCATTGTATGGTATACTCATATTTCTATTGAAATATTTTTAGTTGAAAATTAAAAACTATCTAATTATTTGAAGTCTCATACTTACCTAATTTCTGTTATCAAAAATAATGACATTTTAAAGCCGTTTCTATTTTGGTAATAATAATTATTCAACAATGTTTTAAATCTGTACAAATAACGATGTCAAGATTGAAAAATGTAAGATTTGAAATTATTTGTTTAAACTGTGATAAAAATACGTTCTCAAAGAAAAGAAATATGCCCCGTGAATAATGCATATTGCATAACATTTATTACACAAAGTATTATTCCCAACATTTTTTTTAAAAATGTAAACAGTAATAAAATCACAACGTAAATATATTATATATTTTTCTTTTATTTATTTTTCCTCGGGTCCAGAAAATTTAATTTGTTACGTTAAATATTAAATCGGTTAATTGGCTCTCATTTTATCCATTCGCTGCAATGTCAGTGAAATATTAAAATTATTACAAAAGTGACCATCAATAATAATGTCAATAGTCAGTAGTCACATCTGAGACTACTTCAGAATTTAGATAAATTATCATTAATTCCATCGATTAAAACTGATCGGTATGAAAATGATTATTTTACTGGCAAACTTCTTTGATTTATTGCTCGGTATAGTTTTAAAATAACATAAATCGGTGCGATTTTCAAAACGGCATAAAGTTAATCATATTTGTTTGAATAAAATACCAGCAGGTACACAACAACTACATGCATTATCGTATTAGCATTCGAGTTTAGAATAGCTGGTTACAATTTTGTATTATTAAAAACATAACAACGTGATGCGTACTACGGTATTGATTATGTAATAAATTATGGTCCACGTCAAGGATTATAATTTTCGAAAAAAAAAACCAACCGTCCGTAATTTTTATTTTATGATGTATATTATTTTGAATGCAACATTATTCTCATTATTGTATATTCTAGTCTATAACCTATATAGGTACCAAAAATTCATCGGTATAGTCCATTGGAGTGGATGAAAATAAACTAGATGCGTCCCAATGTAACAAATTGTATTCGGGTTAATATTTTTCGAGCAAGTTATTTGCTACTCGGGATTTCGAACGCAAGTTACCTACCTACTGATTTAATTTAATTTTTATGGAATATAATATAAATATATAATTAAATAAAAAATGTAATATTTTATAATTTTAAACTCTAGGTAGTTAATATGAATAACTTTATTGTAAACTTTTGAAATATATATTTTGTGGCATCAAACTAATTAAATTTTATTTATAATAGTAATAATAATGTATACGAAAGGTATAATAACAATAACAAATAATAACCTATATAATATAACTAATAGGTTACAATAAAATTTGCCATGTAATAAGTACAGCAACATTGAGTTTTTATAAAAGTCAACCGAATACGTAGTATTAGTACTAAGATTATTAAATTTTAAAAATGTATGTTATTTCAAGTATTTGTGACCTCAGATAAATAGAAAGATAATAATAATAATTCGATCTTTAATGATTATTGCGATGAATTATTTTTAATGTGGACTGCAAGTGAGTACTTAAGTAAGCCGTTGGACGCAACTAGCTTGTCTATATCTATTTTGGGAACGAAACTTATCAATAAAAAGTAATTTGAGATATAATGGTAGTAGTATTTTTAATTCGTGATATGGAAGGTATACTGTTTTGTTCATCGTTATACTATTATATCATAGAATTTTTTTTTGCAATAAAAATCAGTTGTTGTCATTATATTATGCAATTTAAAATATTATGTTTATTATAAGAAGAGTCTTATCTTATTTGGAATGCATTTATTTTTTGGTTTTTTCAAATTTCAAATAGCTGTTGTGCTCTTATTATTATATTAATCATATCATCGTTTTTTGGTCAGTATAAACTGAAAACAATTTGAAAATGAATTCGTTTAAGAAATATGTAACACAATCCTCTTATTGCAGGTATATGATCCCAATTAATTAATAAGGATAAGACGATCATTTAAATACGACGGTGAAGAAAATACATGAAATACGTCATGGTTTTTTGACAAAATATTTTTTTCATTCAAAAATTTAATTTTTTATTATATTATCCGATCCATTATAAATTATATTTTATTTGTAATTATATTATATTAATTCTATCATAGCTTATAATCATTAAAAATTGTATTCATTATTATAGTTATATTTTGGTAGATTAATAAACTTTCCTTCATAATTACAATATTACGTCACACATAATGAATTTATCGTAAAGGGTAGGTACACATCATTTTCTTGTACATATAAGGTGGGCGAGGTGAGGCCGTGTTTTTTCCACCCCACTCTGAAAACTATCTTATGTTAGCTTTTCGATGTACGCGTATAATATATTATTATAGTCTCTCGAAAATGTGACTATCCGATCTCGTTTAAAACAAAGTCGTGTTAACCGATACTACAGACTGGTGAAGATAATCACCGACGCGTAGATGATTCGTCCGGACTTAATTAATGAGTCGTGAGGGAAAGAGAAGGGGTCGGCGAAACGACTGCGTAATGATATATGACATATTCTATCGTTGGATTTAGTCAACGCGGTGGTGATAATTAGCCTCCAGTTCACTTGTTTTTCCGGAAGATCGTCGCCACCGATAGGGTTTTCTTTCTGTCACGATTTTGCATACATATTATTACATTTCCGGTCTGGTGTTTTATTAGTCGACCGATACAACTCTGGCGGGCCACCTGCAGCTGTAAAAGGTTACTCCACCTCGACGACAGTTGAACGCGTTATAACAAAAAAAAAATAACCTGTTGGTGAGGTAATAATTTTAATAATTTTATAACAGGTACATAAATTATTATTTTTTTTTTGTTGTTGTTGCTAAATTTCGTTCTTTCGTGGGGTAGGGGGGGGGGAGAGCACACGCCAGTTTTCATTATCGTGTATTATTATTTATGTACAATATCATAATACATATTATATAAATAGTAAGTAAGTAAATAGTCATCGTTGTCGTTACTCAGTTTAGTCGGTTGAACTTGAATACTTCGCAGTTCGCGGATCGACGATCGTCGTGGCCTTGACGAAATAAATGACGATTTGTCGGCTCATGAGTTTTGCCGCGGTACAGGTGACCCGAATCGATTATTATTTTTGTCGAGACAACAGCGCACAAGGGGCCCTTTTGTGTTTGTGTTTTTTTTACTTCCATTATTTATTTTTTTTTTTTTCCATTGGTACATTTTTTTTTTCAATTAGGTAATTAATTACTTACGCGATCCGATCAGCGACGATTAAATTTGCGACAAAGGTCACTCACAACACGAGCTGTAGTATCGTAGGTCCTGCAGTTGTCTCGCAACGACAGCTCATAGCGTACTCTGCAATAGTTTTGAGAGCATCACATGTCTGTTGTACTCGACTTGAATTCGCTGTAAAATAAATACATTTTGATGCACTGGTTGTAATAATAGAAAAAAAAATGTTTTCTTGGCCAATGAGCCCCTCTCTTAAGCGTCATGAAATACTGTAGTTTTCGAACAATATTTAAATTGCAGCTAAAGCGGAACGTCATACAATTTGAAACGATCGACTATAATATTATGTTGTACATCTAATCCTGACTTATTATATTACGCTTACTTGTAACGTATTATGACGTAACGAAAATTATACTAAACACATGCAATATGAAGACTTATAGACACTACTAATGTGGCACACTTTTAGGTATTATATTAGTTGTTTTCGTTTTTAGCAGTGTACAAAACACAAATTGATAGTCGTGAATACCTGCTATTACAGAATTGCCATTATACGAGTCACGGAGTTTATATTCATATCGATTCCGTATTGCAATAAGCATAAAGAGATATATCCGCAGTCTGGTCCGTGTCGCAAATGTTCGATTTTCGTAAATTATTTTGTCTCGCTTTACACCAATCAATCTCGTCTTATTAGCAGCTGTCTATCAGCGATTCGTAATAGTAATTTTTGTTAAAGCGTTAAATTATCATCTGAATAACACAGATCGAAATGTAATTGAAAGATTATGTGTACAACATCGCAGGTATCCGGAAAACCCCAGCTCAAACCTATTCCTTTTTCAGAAAATATTAATTTTCAACCTTTAAAATCAAACCTAATCCAGTGGAATTTTCATACCACCCAAAAAACCTCTAACTTTATAGTTGTTTGTACATAATATACTGTTAACTCGAATTATTTCGTTAGTTTACTGTAATAGTTTGTTGTGTAACTGTTCTTATACTGAATTAAACTTCTAATTATCCTTTCCTGACAATCTTTTGTGTTCATAATACTATATTATAGTGGCGTGGTGGCAGCTAGTATATTATGGTAGCGTCAAAATTGAAAATTTTCTATAGCATCGTAAATAAAGTCTTACGATTTGTTTGGATGTTGGTTTAAGTCGGTTCAAGACAAAAAAGTCATATAACAAACTTTTGTGCTGCTACCATGAAGATAACACCGAAAAATTTAAAAAAAATTCTAGAGTCAGAAATAACATCTAACAAACTTTGAAGTTGTCTAACAATGCCACGAAAAGCGTGGTTTGAGTCCAAAAAACGTTCTAATAAGCTGCTGTGCTGCTTTATATGGTAGGCAAGGTTAAATATGGTTTGCTCCTTTTTAAAAAAATTTTCTGTGGTTGAATATTATAATAAAAATAATCTAGCAATTCACTAAGTAACAAATTTGTTCGATTGTTCTAAAATATGTTGACTGCTATATAATCTTTCACTGCTATATCAGGTCTTAACATACATACATGGTGAACCATCAAACATGCCCAACCCCTTTACTCCTTAGTCCTTAAGTACCCAAAACAAAAAATGCATGTATTTGAAAATATGGCGTTTGAGTATCTATTATATTTAAAAATTCGAAAAACAGAGTTTGAATGAATTAATTAGGTGTTAAAGGAAATAATGTGGTTGAGCATGCTTGATAGATCATCATCCTGTATATGGTCGTACATTTCTTATTTTTTAACGTTTAAAGAACCCATCGCCATCAAAATTAATATTTGTATACCAATATCGTCAACTCAACGTAATTAATAATTGTGGTTGTCACTATCGATAATATTATTATAGATTTCAAAAAAGAAAATGGCTTTCACGGGATGCCTGTGGTCAGTGGTAAACAAGAGTCGCCATACCACATACCGGTCGTCAGCGAGGAGAGGGCTGTCCATTACAACACCGGTCGCAGCATCGACGGTGGCGGTTACAAACCAACTTCTCGTTTCGGAGACCCAATGGCTGATGACTTTGATGACGGAAGGTACGGGCTTGACGACGTGGACGACTCGGCGGCGCCAATCTCGGACGTCGGAGGCCATAATTTCGATCTAGACGATCTCGGCGACGCATTTGACTTCGGGCCGTCCCCGTTCAAGTACCATCGTGACGTGTCCGCAGAAGGCCTGAAAGGCGACGCTCACGGAATCGACGACCAGGTCAGTGCATCATGATAATATTATTATTTGCTTATATTTGTTGTCCGTTCCTAAACTTGGTATAAACTGTATACTATACAAAAAGGTTCCCGACCCCTGCTTGTATAATATATAATAATACAATTATAAATAGCAACTAATCAATCGCTTTATTTATATAGGTATTATTATAACCGTTTCGAATTCCAATCGTCGAATGGTACAAAATATAATATGTACTTATTATGTATTCATATCATCGTATCAATGCCTGGTACATATTATTTTGGAAAAAATATAATTTAAGAATTAAAGACGTATAACCAACAAGCATTTACCTAACTAATCATTTTCGGGTTTGGACACAAATAGTTTTTAATATTTGTTTTACTTTTTGTTATTTCTAATATTACCTACATTTTTAATTATTCAATAAATATAATATAATTTGTATTCCGTACTATTTAAACAGTTTAAAAATCAGACAGGTGCTTTTCATTATTTTTTTTTCCACACACTTATAATATTATTGTATTGCATGTATAGGATTACCTATGCATACATTCAGTGCTTATATTTGTTTAGTAGGTTTTAAATAATATTTGAAAGTACTTCATTCGACTAGGCTTTTAAAAAATACTAATTCATGTTGGATAAAAAATAAATCGATATTTAATAACATTATGCCTTTTGGATGAATACAAAACGGTGAACGAATAAAAGATTTCAAAGTGATTACATTTAAATGCAATTCGAAACCGTCTCACATGTTAACCCGGACAGACATTTTAAACATTGTTATGATTTATGACTTCTATTTTTCTTCATCTTATACATATTTTAACGCTTTTGCATTTTTATCCCATTTGTTTTTCCTTCGGCCTACATATAGTTTCGTTTTTCCAAAGGTTCGAAGGCCAAAAGTTTACCTAACGAAATGTATATGCAAACTGCTGTGATTTATGCACGTCGACCGTTCTTCATATGTATAAGTACCTAACATGAATTCTAGGAGCCGGAATTTTGTTTTTACAGCACCTAAATAAATTGGTTAAATGTTATTGTATGGGTACGATGGTTTAAACTAAGGAGTGATTAGACAATGATGACGAAAATAATGTATGGAGTTTAGACTAAAACATTATTTGCATATTAATATATAATTCCTTTCAATTCCTTTCAAACCAAATTGAATTTCCTCATTTTACTCAGGTTCATATATAGTTAGGTAGGTTCTTTATTATCATCGAAATATAAATAGTATTATAAAATAAAAATTCATTAATCATCATATTCTCTGGTTTTTTATTCTGAAATTCCAACGGTTTTAAAGGTTGATAGAAGTATTGAAATCTGTATGGAAAGATTTTAGTTTAATTTAACGCAGTAGAACAGTAACTATAAATAAAAAATGTTATTCTATACATTAGAAAAAATTCAACCAAAAACATCAGTTGCACCAAACCACTAAATTTCGGAGCTTGAGTATTGTTTTAACTTTTTTATATGTACTAAAAAACACTGGAAAATAATGTATAAAACTGGATAGATTATAAATGTATATATAGTATAACTTACTATAATCATGTAGGTTCACATCGAAAGTATAAATTACTAAGACATAATATACATTTTTTGTTTGATACTTCAATGTTTACATAAGAAAAATCATATCGTAAAGTCATTTGAAATCAATAAATTTGAAGTGTTTCTGTATTAATTAAAACATCCGTGTAAAACCAAAACGTACTACACTTGTATCAGCTAACATATCAAAATCTGCAAACTGCAGTGGGCTGCGATATCATTGTTTTCGTCTAATGATTTTATGAACCTTTTCAGAATTACTTCGGTTCGCCTTACACCCACAACGAGTACAAGTCACCGAGCAAACACTCGAAGGCTGGCGGTTCGTACCAAAAGGCTGGCCATTACTTCTCGCAGGGCACGCTGGGCGACAGCGGATACAAGAACCATCACGACTTTGACAAGGGCCACGCTGGTAAATATGGCAAGGACGACCTGAAGAGCCACTACAAGAAGGCGTCCGGCCACAGCAACGGCCACAAGAACGAGGCTGACCACTACGGCAAGCACAAGAGCGGCACGCACGGCGTCAAGGGCCACAAGTTCGGCGAGACCGAGCACCACAAGAAGGGGCACAAGACGACCGGCTTCCACAACGTGTACCACAAAGACGAGTACAACAAGGAACAGAAGTTCTACGACGACGCGCACAAGCAAGGCAAGTTTGACAAGTACGGCGGCAAGCACAAGGACTTCTCGCAGAAGGACGGCGGCCACAAGCACGGCACCCACCACGAGTCTGGTTACGACGAGGGGCACAAGGGCGCGGCCGGCCAATTCGAGAAGGGCAGCTACCACGATGGTCATAAGGGCCACAGCGGCGAGTCCGGCCACAAATCGCATCATGATCACAAGGCCGAGTACGATACACTGTCTGACAACAAGAAGTACGGCGAACACGAGGCTGCGGGTGGCGACGACTTCTATTGAGCGATGACGGCGGCGTGGTGACGACTTCCAAGTCTATATTATTATACATTATACTCCTGCGTGTATCATAATGCACGTACTTGGCGAAAGCAAACGCTTCGACAGACTTCAGTGGCGTGCCCACGAGGGGGGGGGGGACTTGAGTGTTATTTCTAATGTTCTCCCACCCCCCTTGTCCCATACATCCCCTTGTGTTTGTGTCTTTGGTATATTACCGCCACAATTCATTTAAATGTATTATTAAGTTATAACATACCTCCCACCCATTAAAAATTCCTGGGCACGCCACTGACAGACTTGGTATTGTAAATATATATTAAAAAACTTATTGATAGCTAATAATTATTATCATCATTATTTTATGCCGAAGATCAGTGTGTCTGTATATAATAGTATATACCTATATATTTACCTATTTGGATATATAGTATGTTATTTATATACCTATGTCCTATATAATATAATCATATTCAGTGAGATGATTTTTCAGGTTACACTAAATTTCTGGGCTGGATTACGTTTGATTAGATCGGTTTTTTTTTCACAAGCTTTAATGGGGTGTACCTTAGTTCACATTAATTATGGTTGGAATAACGTTCCAAGTTTATTGATTCCATCCCAAGCCCCCTTCATATTTTTATAATTACCAACATATATATTTTAAATCATATTTGTGCTGGTCTATGTTAGGTAATAATAACAAAAACAAATACTTTTTCTTGATTTATTAAGATGATTAAATTTGCTCATGCATTCATTAAAATCTTTTTTTATTTACTAAAATGTACAAAATGTTATTTGCCTAAGTATACCTCGTGGTATAAAATATTTTATTAAAATATTAGAATTATAAATATTGTTTATAATATTTAAACCAAAGATGTAACGAATTATTCGATAGGTAGTCAATATTTTAATAGTTCAAAAAAATACAAAAACGAATTCAAGTAAAAATTTTAAATATCTCTCATGTTAATTCAATTTTGATATTATAAATTTAGAGCAATAGTTAGGAAGTAATACTTTAAAAATAGACCTACCTAAATATATGGTATTAAAAGTATAAATATTTTAGACATAGCGGCATAATTTTATGCGCGTTTTTGCAGGCGAGTTAACAATTTGAAATATTCTTATAAAATGTACCTATACCCCTGGCTGGTCAAATTTATTCCGATTCTACAATACAACGTAAAATGGGCCGAAAAATTAATGTTAAGTAACTGAAAAACGATCATTCTGTATATTATATTATGTTATATTATTTTGCATACGTGTTAAGTCTTTAATTCATTTCTAAATATACTCGTGTACATATTATTATTTTAGTGCGTTCATATATTCAAAAAAAAATTATCCTATTACCTACCTTAATTAATAATAATTGTAATATATCAAATTATGAGAAACAGAACGAATGTGAATTTCAGCGGTGAACGGTGTGCCTATACAATTAAAAATAATATATCTATCTAATCACATATCATATTATGATAACGAATGCAATTGAACCCGTAAAAAGGATCATTATACAAAAAACGAAAACCCAAGGCCTCGTTATTTGACCACTCTCTGTTTATATTTTATACCCAATTATTAAACGGCAGTTTATAAAGCCGTGATTTAAAATCCTATTATCGGGATTCTCGATTGTGTAATAAAAAAAAAAAAAATATAAGATTCCATACACTTTATTATTATCATTATATTATTATACCTATTTATTATACCTATGCGAGATATACATTTATATACGCGCAGTCCTCTTCTTATATTTCATTGAAAAAAAAAAAATGTTTATTCGGTTTATATGGTTTAGATTTTGTATAGCTGTTAGGTAATTCATATATATATATATATAATATGTATATGACTATATGAGATACCTATTATACCGATATGGACTATATCCAATGTATAATAGGTATATGCATATACCTACGGTTTAGTAATAATAATAATAATTTGAAAGAGTTCATCTGCACACACGCTTCGTCGCTCCCGTTATTTCGCGTAGGTATACCGGGATACCGCATTTACCCTATATCGACAACGAGGACGGGATGGTTTCTGTTTCAACCTTATAGAAGTGTCTCCTGCAATATAGCCCATGTGTGTAAATTTTTTTTTGTCAGGATTATTATTGAACAGATTCGATATTAACATACAGTTTGCGATTGTGTCTATTTTACTTATTTTTACCTAACCCGTTAGAATAGTCAATATAGCTGCTGGATTCTATCTTGTTTTTTTTTTTTTGTTGCTAAAGAGTAAAGGTTTATATCAAATTCCTATGCATAAGCATGTCGTGTATTTTGAAATATAATAAAAAAACATACAAACACGTTTTTTAGTTTTTATAAATATAATGGGGAAGAACATTATATTCTCTATTCTGTGGTAAGACGTTGTAGATATTCGATTTAATATTATAATATTATTACTTAGTATTATTATTTTGCTATTCACTATTTCGTCTCCGTCAACTCGGCAAAAATCGCAAAAGCATGCCGTCTGGCCCATTAGCTCAGTTGGTTAGAGCGTCGTGCTAATAACGCGAAGGTCGTGGGTTCGATCCCCCCATGGGCCATCAATTTTTTTTATGCATCAATATTTAGATTTAAACAATGTTACATTTTAGATACTAATATAATTTATTCTACTATGTCAATTTAAATTTTTCTGAATTTAATTTTTTATACTTCACAAAAAAAAGTAATGATTAAAATATTATATATTATTATTTTTCAAACCGTTTAATTTATTTTTACACTGTGGCACTCGTCCAAAATGAACAATTATAATATATAAGCTCTCTTCGGTATTGGTACTAGAGTAGTAGAGTTGTATTTATTTTTTTTTAATCCGAATGCAATGTCATGCCAGTTTCACACCATCTTCACCAATAAATATTTTATAAAAAAAAGCCGAGATACGATACTAGCACTTAATATAATGGTGGTTCAAAAATATTAAAGATACCTACTTATTATTGTACACCTATGTATGATTTCTTTTTGCGGGCATTTTAAGTTCAATTTTTATAGATAAGGATTGAAAATTTAAAATACAGTTTCTCATGAATAGTGCACACGGTAAAAAAAATCTTTAAAAATATATATAGTTTACATTGCAGTTTTTTTATAGATATTTTAAGTTCAAATTTAGACAGTGAATATGTAAGTGAAGAATAACTAAATTATTTAAGTTATGCTATCTTAATTTAAAAATATTAATTGTGGGTACCTTAAAGTGGGTAGCGAGTGGTGCGGATCTGGGAGGGTATTTTATGATTAATATGATTTCAGTTCATGGAAGTTACTGCAAATAAAAATTTGTATAGCTGTACAGGAACCACAACCTCGGCATCCCTATGCTTAACTTATGGGAGTATCTAGTTAATTCTTTATTCAAAAGTGTGTAAAAACATTATCAGCCCATTCAAATTTAACACATCAATTACGTAGTGACCCACACGACATCTAATGTCCAGCACAGCGGTACCCCAATAGCCCTCCTTTTTTTCTTTTATCAATCATCATTGTTTTCAACAATCATCTTCATTTATTCAATCTACCCGAATGTGTATAAAATGTATGTTTATAATATAAATTGTTATTTACATTAAATTTAATAATGTAGTAAGAATAACTAATAAGTAATAACTATTAACTACATTTAAAATCTATAAAAAAAAAAATAAAAAAATTTTGGCCCATGGGGGGATCGAACCCACGACCTTCGCGTTATTAGCACGACGCTCTAACCAACTGAGCTAATGGGCCCGAGTGGTGGGGAATCGATATTGCATAGCAAATAGAACAAAAATATTTTAACAAGCATAGGACGTGTCTACATAATTGAATTAATAAAAACATAATCTGATATACTACTGTTGATGTTTTTCTTCTGCAAAAAAAAAAATGAAAAATCATAGATAAGTATTTGGCTAATCAAAAATGTTCTAATAACATGTACTAAACAATGCGTTAAAAAAATCTTTCTCTCAAAAATCGGTTGGATATAAAAGTTGTGCCCAGCCCAAAAATTTAATATCTATGTTAAAAAATAGAAATTACCTAAAATAATTATTGATAAATACATAAGACAGTTTAAATATTATAATACATTACTAATTAGTAATTAGTAATTATATATGTAAGGAATCACATATTAATTTTCTGTTTAGATATTATGTTCTGTTGTACTGTATAAATGTAATATTGCATTAAATATTATTACATTAATGTGTTTAATATGTGCGTTGTGCAATATACCTCCATGTCACCTGCCTCCTGACTACCTAGTATTATAATGGGTACTAATGTACTATCAATTACACATTATATTATATACAATTATTGAATTATGAAATTTAGGGCCGGGTTGAAAAATTAAGACAGGAGGCACACATGCCCCAGGGCCCAGGTGTAAGTTGTTTCACTTAAGCTAGTAGAACTGTACAATCTAAGCACAGTCAGTGACGGATACAAGGGCCCGGGAAGGGGCGATGAAGCCCAATTTAATTTTTGAAAATTCGCACTTTCCCTTGTGTGACTTCTGGGGTATCCACAACTGGGTACAATCGTAGGAGTAGGTCTTATCTACTGTAATATATTTTATCCTATTAAAAATCACTGGTAATTGGTTGATATACCGGAATGAACCAAATTAGTTTATTCTGTACTATAGATATAATATATTGAGTTTCCGAATCAATACTTAATTGTTCATATTTATAACAATAATATTACTACATAGGTATAAGTGTGTAACTGCAATTAATAATTAATACATTCATTGTGTGTTTTATACCAAACAATTTCACAACTTTTAAAAGTGTTCAACTTCCCCTCTCCTCATGACTCCGTTCACGTATACTCCACTACACTAAATTAGTAAATTATATAAGTATAATAAACGTATTTATATGTATATAATATTATAATGTAGTTATATTATACTGTACGTAGTTTATTGAATATACATACCTACATAATCATTTATATATTGAAGGCGAGAAAAAATACCTACCCCGGAAAATGTCTGGCTTCGGCTTCGAGCACAATTATGTATAGTATTCTCAACATAATACTACATTGTTTTGGCTGCCACCATTATTGTATAGTGGTGCTTGGTACTTGGTAGTATTGAAAAAAAAGAAAAATAATTTTTTTGGGGCACCGAAGCAGTATATTTATAGTATAATAAATAACATTACAACGTAAAATTGTTATATTTATAAAACTTATAGCGGAAAAAAATGAACAAAACAATTTCCGAGTAAGTATTATATACCTACAGGCTATAGATAAAACACTGAACACACAGGCACTAGAAACAACAAATAAATCTGTGTCTGAAAAGGCCGATTTCACTTTTCGCCGACTTTTGACAATTAAGAGTTGTATTGTTTTTATTTTTAAGCATTAGTGCTGGTAAAAGTTTTATTTTTCAATATATCAATTGTCGCGCTCTCGTGCGCCTTGAGTTATGATGTCCAGTGCAAGAAAACCGGTAAGTATAGAACTTCGGAATATGTTATGCAGTATGCCTTTGCAAATCGAATATGCCGAAAAGTCATATTGGCCATAATAGTATTACTGTCACATAATTTGTTATTGTTTTATATTTCTCTTCTGACCATGTAAAAAAAAATGTAATTCGCATTCATGACGTATAAATGTATAATATATGTTCTACATTTACATGAATTATTGTTTATTATATTGTATGAATAATAAACCTAACAACACAGTCATATTACAATAACATTATTGTTGTTAAATCAATTAATAACAGTTAAGTAAAACAATACAATAATCTAAGCACATATCAGCAACAGTCATAATGCCACATTGTATAAAATATCTGTGTGAGTTGCATACGAATTGACAATCATACACATTAATTTCTACATACAATTCATAAGCTAATTGAAACAGAACTTACCTACTATTTAGTAACAATTATTTATTTATTATAAGTAGTTATTATTATTACATTCAATATTGCTGTAATTAAATTATGTTTTTTTTTAATTTTATTACACGAATGATCGGCGATTGGAACGATGAATGGATTTATATTGACTAAAACTTGTCGTACTAATGAAAAACAAAAATAATGTTTATAGTTATATTATAGTCAATTTTCTTAAAAAATCCGAATTGTATGACTTAATTTGAAAAGTATATATTACTAATAAATAAATGGATTTATAGATAAATAAAATTAAATAAATAAATTTAAATAATGTATAGGTTAATTTGATAAATACTATTTAAAATTCATAATATTTTCAAAAATTGAATTATGTAAAT